GTCCTTATTGCTGGCATTCTGACTTTGACTGCAGTCTTTTTATATTTTGGAGTAAATCTCTGATATGCTCTTAGGTTGCTTAATATCCGTCTGAAATTCTGGACTGTGGTCATCTTTTCCGATTATGAGTCGTATGTTTAAATAACTCACCGTAACTAGTGTTTTGCATTATGAAGTATATTATTATGAAGGTCAACACACTGTACTTGAGGTAAATATTTACCATTTCGTTATTTCACTTTCCAGCATTTACAGGAAACGCTTCATTCATTCTAGAAAATTACTATGGAAATAATAAATGTAACAGCAGAATACGTCCTAGCACAGTCATTCTACTAGTAGAGTGACTGTGGTCCTAGTAATAAACTAAGTGACTTCTAAAGACTGAATGGTGTTTGCGAACTTCGTATTAGTTATAAACCGACATTATCTTCACGTTTATGTCACCATGGAAACAGTCAACAACATATTGCTTGTTTTTGAGCGGAGCGGATCGCCAACCAGCCTACCGGCTTGTAGGAAACTGTTTCTCAATTTGTCTCTCAGTGTTCAAGATGGCTATCCCCATTTAGTAAATATTAATCACATTTATCATATTATCACTTGTACGCCAGCTGATTGTGGCCATTTTAAGGCTGACCAGGGAAACTACTTTCACTCGCCCAGAGTGGACGCGACCACGAGTCGGCGCCAGCGAGATTCGAAAGCCAACTGTTTAGGCAAATCCCAAGCAGTTTAATAGCCAATTCGCTAGCGAGTTTGAAAATTGGCTGCCCCAATACTTCTGAGACTTGCTGTAAGCAGAAGTAGAGTATGCAAGAATAGAAATGCCAATCTGTGTTTTTTCGTTGATGCTACATATTGCTGTTATTTTGTGATTTTTTGTTGTAGATACAGTGTAGTTTTCTTATTTCATAACATCAATAATATCAACGTCTTTGCCATGAAAAGGTTTGTCGCCAGGGTCAAAGGTCGTACTGAGTTGAAAAATACGCCGGATGTCTGTTATTAAATTTTATTATACTTACTTCCAATTCTGGTATATTCTTTGGATTTGGTATTAAATTCAAAGGTGTTCTAGCACCATGTCTGAAGAAAACTTGCACCATTTTCAGTCGAAGTCCTCGCTTCGTTATATGGTCGATTTGAAAACGGTCATCACCGTCACTGTCAGACTCATCGTCCGATATCCCTGCTGTAGATTTTACGAATTGAGCAGATCGGGCGATGCATACAGCACACACTCCGGTTCCTACAAGGCACAGTTTACGTAAGAACATCATCACAACTCGAATCCAGAAATAAATATGTGTATCAGCCTGAAATTGTCCGGAAATAAACCCGGAACTAAAAATACTATTGACACGTGGGTCAACAAAAATAAAAATGGCGACCGAGATGAACTAAAACGAAAGCACTCTAGGTACTCATTGTAGGGGCGCTGTTCTTGCTTAAAATAACTTACAAGTTTGTTTCATTGCTCAGTTGCTGTGAATTTCATAGATTATACCAAATATTTTAATAAATATTTTTATTAAACAACTAGACCAATTACAATAGCAGGATCGTCTATTTGGGATCTTTTTTGTGTTTCTTATTTTCAAAAATAGATTAAAAAAAACACTTCATTATTTGCTTCATGTACTATATTTTCTTTAGAATTAGTTTTTACCTTATACAGAAATGCATGTTTTTCTCATAACAAGTTCACAAGTTTTTGTTTACCCATGGATTCACTTCCTCCAATACAGAAAAAAACATATTTATAATAATTTTCAAATACCAATCAATAGAATTCATTAAAATTCAAATATCTAAAAGTGATTGGCTCAAAAGATCACCATCATCTACTGTAAAATAATTAATTTTCACTTGAAATTAATTTTTCGCTTTTTGCGCTGAAGGAATGATTCAGTGAAAATAAAATCCAGTGAATATATCTTTTTTCATATATTTTACATTCAACTCGTCAAAAATCTATGAAAATAAATTCTACACAAAACACCCAAAAAGTTTTTTCAACAAAAATTTATTTCAGCTAAAATAAAGTATTTTACAGTACTCCAATAATGCATGCACATGCCTTCATCTGACATAGCAATCGTGACTGCCCTCTTATTCAAAATGAAGAGCTTGCTGATTGGACGATGTTGAACTATTAACTCACTAACAAAAAAGTTACAATGGCATTCCTGGAACAGTGAATTTGAATTTTAAAATCCATTTTGATTTATGAAAATGTATATTTATAAAATGTTTATAATGATCACTCCTTTATGCACATGGCTAGATTAATTTCTCTGAAATGTTATAGCTGAAACAATATGCTAATACTTGATAATACTATTCAACTACAAAACATAAAAATCCAATACATAATACATATACATGAACAAAATAAAAATAAACCTCTACTTCCGCCAACCACAAATTTTGGTTGAATGATCACAGTCCAAATTTGATTAAGATACATTACCTTAGAATTAATCTTTTGGGTGACCGAAATTCAGTGAAAATAATTTCACATTTTGTAAAATTTTCACTAAATTTCATCATCATTTTTGGCCAGACAGTTTCAAATATTGCTTTTAGTTTTTGATCAAAAGATTTGTAAATTGTTATCAATATTTCATGTGAGGAGGAACATACTATACAAAATTATTTTGTAGATGGTGCCAACACTAGAAAGGGTAATATATTGTCACAATACTAATATTTCCTCTAATATAAATCATAGTAAAATTGTGAAAATAAAAGCAAATTATAAAATATGGTGTACTTGTAGCTGTGCCATTATGTATATTTAATATAGAAATTCATCATTACCTATTTGTTACACAGTATTAAAAGTACACACAATACATTTGAATTCAATTGAACAGATTGGCAATACACTTCCAAGTACAACTACTGTAAAATCTGTATTAGAAGCTGCATCTCTAATAGAAGTCGCATCTATTTTTTTTGAACAATTGGGAACCACAAATTCACCATTTCTCATATGTGTAGATGCTCTAATAGAAGGCGCATCCCCTCTGTTGCATTGTACCATTTTAATAGAAGCCACGGCTTCTAATACAGATTTTACAGTAATTGCCAATAATTGGCGTTATACAGTTTAAACATGAATCAGCTAATCTGTTTTTGTTTTTAATTGTGCTTGATTAATTTTGCTTAACAAAAAATAAGTATAACATTTTCTTTACGATTTCAATAAAGCTCAGTTCAGCCCTATTCTACTAATTATACACTTCTCGTAGTGGGGGCGCAGTACCTGTGTTCACATAAAACGGTTGAACATTGAACACTTTGTCATTAGTTCAGTAATAATTGTGTAAGTGTGAAAGCTTTATTTGGTTATATTAACTTGATAGATAATCCTAACAAATCTTTAAACCTCAATCTTGGCCATTCAACAGTTCAACTTCCCTCCAGACTGAACACATGCTTTGACTAAGTTGCCAAGTATGGTTTATTTACAATATACACATAAATAACGCAGGCTTCATATAAAACAGGGGATTTTCAGCAAATCCATGAAAATGAAAAAAATGTACAATAGATTTTTCTATTGATGTAAATAAATCTCCGTTTAGCACTGAGTATAGGACAACTAGTACTGGTTATAGTACTCAGAGAGTCCTTTAATTTTATCATATGAAACACCTGATCATGTGGTCAGAAACAAGTAAACTGAACTGCACTAAACTACAAATGAACTATAAATATTATAGGCTTTGTAATTACCGTATGTACACCATAATAATAAAATGTTTTTCAACATATTCTTAGGTGCGAGGCTACATCACAGAACATTCTATGTTACAAATATGCACACAATGTACAATGTATTTCTATGGGCTGTGCATGAGCTGCTGTGGAACGCAGCAAATAAAAGAAAATGCTAACATTGAGAAAACATCACAAACTGAACCATCACCTGTACGGTTAGTCTTGTTACACAGTTCAGGAAAGTCTCAACAACTAGCACTAAAGTACCGGTAATATTTCCTGAGAGTTTTTGGCTTTTGTGAGGTTGCCAGGCGGCGAAAATGCCAGGATGTACGCTTTCGAGAATATCAAATTTGTTGAATTTCACAAAGGATGACGACATATATGTACGTTGAATTCTACACTGTCTTTACACATTTGCTGACAAACACTACACTGAAATAATCCTTGTGCTCCATGAAAACCCAGATGCATAATGTAAAGCATGGTATTCTCATAAGTAATGCAACATGCTTTGCATCTGAAAGTCTCATTGTTTGAGGTAGCTGGTTGTCCAATCAACGAATTTCCATTATATTTTTTAACACTATGATTGTTACGTTTAGTAGTTTTTTGTCTTAATGTGTGTGCAGCAGTGCTAGTATCTGTATCAGCTGAGTAAGCAGGCTCTTCATCTCCAGAATCAACTTTAATATATTCATCATTGTCGCAATCAATGGCCTGGGACTCGATCGCTCTTCTAACATTACTGGATGTTGCATGTGACTCTAGATTTTTTTCAGGCTGATTTACAATCACACTTGCTTCATTTTGTTCTTCTGAATCTATAGACTGATCTACATTACTAGAGGGAACTGTAGCAGCTGGTGTTGAATGCAGATCTCTTATTTCACTAGTACAAGATATCGACTCTTGGTTACCAACAAGCTGACACTTTTCCGCAGGCTTATTTTTTTTAACAGCATGTGTAGTCTTGGTCATCGATTGTTTTAACTTGCTTGATTTCTCATTAGCATGCTTCTTTTTATGTAGTTTCAAAGTATTTTTAAGTAAAAAAATTTTTCCACAGGATAAACATTTGAAAGTTTTTTTCTTGACATGTGTTCTATCATGTAATTTCAGAGTACTTTTTCGTAAGAACTGCATTCCACAGACACGACACCTGAAGTTTTTAAATGTAGTGCGTACATTTATATTATCATCATTTGTAGACTCCTCTTGAATATCCTCATTCACAGGCAATTTTTTCTTGTTCTTTTTCTCTTTATGTATTTTCATATGTTTTCTTAACAAATATTTAAAAATAAAAGCTTCTCCACATAATCTACAAATGAATGATTTTTCCTGGTTATTGTTACACGCACGATTATTTTTGTGACATCGCAATGAAGATTGGTGTGAAAATTTCCTCCCACATTCACAACTGTATGGTTTTTCACCAGTATGGATTCTCTGATGTAACTTCAAATTTCTCGTTGATGCAAGATTTTTTCCACATGTCTCACACTGAAATGGATTCTCGCCAACATGACGTTTAGCATGTTCTCGTAAGTCACTCAAATGACGGAAATACTTGTCGCATACATCACAATGATGTGGTTTTTCACCTGTATGAATCAGCATGTGTACTTTCACATACTTTTTATTGGCAAAATATTTACCACAAGTGTTACATTTATATGGTTTTTTACCAGTATGACATCGCAAATGATAATTGAGCCTTGTGGTGTCAGAAAACATACGTCCACAAATGTCACACAAACATTGCTTTTCTCCAGTATGCACCCGCAGATGGCTATTCAAATTGTTTTTACGTTTGAACGTCAATCCGCAAGTATCACACTTGTATGGAAATTCCCCAGTGTGCGACATTACATGTTCTTTTAAAGTTCCTTTTTTTACAAATCTTTTCTCACACATATGACATTTGTAAGGTTTTTCACCAGTATGGGATCTTCGATGAACCAACATGGTAGACTTTGCTGGGAATCTGTGGGAACAGATGTCACATTTATATGGTTTCTCACCAGTGTGCACTTTTTGATGATTTTTAAGACTGCATTTTGATTTAAATTTCCCCCCACATATATCACACACATAATCTAACAATTTCCTTCGACATTTACCGCATCGATAGGGCTTGTTCCCAGTGCTGGTATCTCCATTTCCTGTTGAACTGGACCTGATCAAAAACTGTTTGTCACATGTAACACATGTGAATTTAAGATGAGTCTTCTTATGTGCTTTGAATTGACTTTGGCCTGTCAACTTGACTCCACATATAGGACACACATGGGTTCTTTCTTCATCATGTGATTTTCTATGCTGTTTCAATATAATTATATTGCAGCATATTTTCCCACAAAAGTCGCAATTAATACGCTTCGTACAATGTCGTCTATAAGCACATTTCCAGCTGAATTTCCTTTTGCATATCTTACAAGTATATGTCCTAGTTTTGTCTATTCCTGTTTTTTCTGTGTTTTGGAGAACTTGACCAGACAGATCTTCTTTGTGGTTTGTAAGTTTTTTCTTGTTTCGTAAACACATAGCCATGATTATGATCTTTGTTGATGGTAATACTAGTCGGTGAACTTTCAACCATAATCTTGCCACCTGCAATTATAACGTACAGCATTGTGACACTAAAGGTTATGAATACTTCTTCCACAGTGTGCATGACAGTTCCTGGACGCGTCTTTGTACGCACAGAAAAGAGTAGATAGGGTCACCTAATAACAAGCTTATTTTTGATTTGCACATGAGTGGAGAAATTTTTTTACAATGTTATTGTAATCATATTCATGCTATAATCCATAGTTCCATGGTCTGATACAAAGATCTGACTGCAAGCCTAGTCATCATTTTTGACAAAATTAGTAATAAATCACATGACAATGTTCATTAGTTTATTATGTACAATCATGAAGCTAATGTCTCATGATACAATGAAATAGCATTATTTTGTGTGTTACAGTTACGCTTTTTGAGAAACAGGTCCTAACATTTCTTGAAAATTGCTATTTTTAGAACAATTCCATAGAACACAATGTTAAAAAAATTGCATTTTTGGACACTTTTTAAAACCCAGATTTTTTAAATAATTCAGAACAACAAAAAGTACTCCATCATTAACAATATATGAATTTTTCAGCCTATGTCACCAGGCTAGATTTCGAGATATTGCATAATATCTCTGCCATAGGAACCTGTGATAAAAGTGTTATAATAGTGTCAAAATGGCGACTTTTCACTAAAATACAACCATCAACTTTTTTTAGGTCAATAACCTTATATATTGCCTTGAAGTACAATTTTTGCAAAATGAATTACCGGTAATTCTGGGTTTTTGATTTCATGAGTAGGCTTCTACCTTAAAAGTGCATGTGCAAGATATATGGGTCTTATATAAACAAAGATGGCGACTTTGACTGTTGCGCAGATCAACAAGTACGAACTGACACGTTTCCAAGCTTTAATTAGGCAATTTCCATGTAATTGGGAGGTATCGAAGGAATCACCGTCGGTAATCAGTGCATGTCGCGCCCAGGTCAAACCTCATACTTGTGATTTCCATTTGAAGAACGCATTGGATTGTGGGAAAATCAATGTTTATCAACACAAATGTCGCACATGTGCAGCGCAACGACTACCGCGCTTTAAGTTCATCCCTTTTTATTTCCTACACAATTGCTATATATCAAGATGTGAAAATTATATGTATGTCAATGAATAATGAATCGTACGTAAATATTAGGTGAATCCTACATCAATAATCAAATCGTATGCTGTCTTCACATTCGTGTGAATCGGCCTTGTCCAAGGTCAGCTCGTGAAACATGGGAGCAATCGGACAGTCATTTGCGAGGGTTCTGCCTTAAAGTAGCCCAAAATACGGCACAATACTTGAAGTGGGGGAAGTTAGGGCAACAATTTTGTAGAATCAAAATGATTTGTATTATGTAAAGGCGCTGAGCTGAACTTACCAAGACAATATTTCGAGCGAAGTTTTCGAAAAAATAATAATCTGCAGGTCTGTTATAGCGCCCTCTGTCGATGACATAAATAAACTCTTTGTTTTTATAGAAAGAGTTTACTAATTAGTGCCCGTCAACCTTTTACACACTTTAAAAGTTAACACTGCTGTATAACGAGTTTATTTTCCCCATCGGAATCTTCTGAAGAGTAAAAAATGTCACACATTATACGTCCACTTGTCAGTCCACGACAGGTACTAGTAGCAACGTTGCAGTTCGTCGCTAGAGGGCGTTGAAAGGTCACATTGAAAATGGCCACACTGGTGACGATTGATGGTTGCAGAAACTATTGTACCCCGTTTTCAAACGTTGGTTTTAAAGTATTCACACATCTATCTGATCGGTAAGTTACCTGAATTCTCTGAGTTATCTTTGATAACGTCTGATTGCTCGACTAGTAGTCTTAGCCCTGCCTGTGTGTAGGGTCATTCCAGTTTTTGTCCAACCCCCCTCCCCCACGAAAGTATATTAAGGTTATCACACCCTATGGATTCAAATCCACCATTCAGGTGTTGAATTTTTGTTAACTAAGTAACACACCCCCTTGGAAACTTTACTGATTTGACATATACGTAAGGGTATGTGAAAAAACTAAATATATTAAAAATATGACACCTCTCGGAATTAAACCATCCATACTTTTTGTAGAAATATGACCCCTTGGCTTTAAACCATCTATGGGAGGGGGGACAAAAACTGGAATGACCCGTGGACGGTTGATTCGTCTATTGAGGTGATTCGTCCCACTAGTTGATTCGCCCCAATTCGATTCATTCACAAATTTATTCGCCAGAAAGTTCGTCTGATTTATTAAGTTGGCCTGATACTAACCTGTCCCATATGTGCAAACTATATTTTTAGCTTATAGATTGGGTTCCGTCCGTCCGTCCTTCCTTCCGTCAGTCTGTTCGTCTGTCTTTTACCTCTTATAACTTTGATATGCTCTGTCCAATGTTTTTCCAAGTTGGTGCAAATGTAATTCTCAATCCCATACATATGCACGCCAAGTATTTTTTTGATTCGCCAGAGTTTTATTGTGTTTTTCTGTGATTTTCAACATTTTACTAGTAAAATGCTGAAATTTGGCGGAAAAATTCAAGTTTTAACAACATCTAGCAAGAGAACTGGCATACCGTATTGCGCATATGGCAGTCTAACCGCTGAGGAGATCGGCGTCGTTTTCGTCTGAGGATATTGTATTCCAGGACTGTATCTTTCTTTGCACAAGGCTTATATAGATTAAATTCTATCTCAAAGGTAAGAAACTGTGCTTATGGTATTTATTATGAACTTTGATTTATCCTTTTGTGTCCTGACTTTAGTGAGAAACTAGCGATCACACAGTGTCACACTTTGCCAGAAAAACAGTCCTGCTATTAGTTCAAGAACTGGTTATGAAACGTGTAAATCGAAAGTTTATCTCGTCATTTAGAAGGCTTGGGAATAACATTTGGCATATCAAATACTGGAATAATAAAAACATAAAAGTTTAGAACACGCTGATCGTGATTCTGTTATGCACAATTGCTATTTCCGGTGTTCATTGGCAACTGCTAGCAGATTGAAACTTGGTTTCGTGACGACATATTAGACTAGAATTATCAAGAAAACACAAGTCAAGTTCGACCAACCGTGACTGCTTGAAAGCAATGATGAAATTGAAAAGTACTGTAATTCAATATCAATGAATCTATCATCACTTTTAAATTACCTTTGAAGTAAATATGATACCTGAGTGCGTTACTACACTTGTGACCGGGACCACAGACGCTCGGAACGTTTCTTGGATAATAAAAAATGACGTAAAGTAGGATCGGCATAGTTAGTCAGTCGCCGGTACATTCCCCTACCACTCATATAATGACACAAGGTAGGAAAGCGTTGACACCATGACATCAAAACTTCCCGAAAATAAAACGATTTTCCAAATTTCATTTCGATCCGCTTCACACAACTCAAGCATGATATCGGTAGAAACTATCGATTGACTTACATTACCTTTATTCGAACTAAAACGGGTTAAATCCTGTGAAAATCAAAACACCAGAGCAAAAAGGACAAATCCATCTACGCCGATATTTTGAAGCAGTGACCCGAGCATGCACAGTTCCCAAACATGTACGCGCATACTGCATAGTTTCAAAATTTAAATATTGTATTGTTGTATGTTGTATTTTTGAATTAAATTTTCCTGAAAAATAAAAATTGAGCTAATAGTTTGCAATATAAAAAAACCATCAGTATCGGTTTTTGATGACGCAGTACGCGCGTACATGTTTTGGAAGTGCGCATGCTTGAAGTAATGTACTTTTTTGGGAAAATATATGAATAAAAGAAAAAAAAAAGAGTACCCATCACATTTCAATGAACCTAGGACTATACACCATATTAGTTTTTGGTAAATATTTATGCTTCTTAATCACCTAATTAACATAATTAATTAATACTGATATTAGTAGTGTTGATCATCACATTTGACCCTAGTCAGATTTTAATGACATTGAAAATACAAGTACTCTGGCTTTTTGCACATTCTTAATATTTTATTTATGCAGAATCCCGTGAATATTATTTTGACAACTTTGTAGAGTGGAAACAGACTGGTGAATTAGTTCATCCTAGACTTTGGTAGAACATGTTTAAAGTAGTACAGTGTGAACTGCAATTTCTTTCTGGCTGGTATAAATTTATTAAGTAATATTTTTTCGTACTAAAAAGACTCAAATATCTTTTTTAATTAAATCTAACAACCTCTGCTTACTTTGGACTAAATGTTCTTTTTTTTTTTTTCAGGTGCAGAGCCAGAATTTTTTTCTCAGAAAGCAAAGCCACTGGAACTGCATGTATTAAAAAACATACAGGTACTATTCGCTGCGTGTCTGACAATTGTATAAAGTTTCGCAGGTCCTCCTTTTTAGCTCCGCTGTCGACTTTGTCGAGCGGAGCTTATCATATGAGTGATTGTCCGGCGTCCTCCGTCGTCCGGTGTCCGGCGTCCGTCGTCCGTCGTTCGTGTCAATGTTTTACTTTTTCGACTTCTTCTTGACAACTACAAGCCTGAATGCTTTGATACTTGGTGTATATGTACCTTGGGTAAACCTCTCTCAGATTTGTTTATTTTATGATCATATCTTCAATTCTCTAATTTTGGTGAATATTTTTGTCATTTTTGGTAAAAAGTGATATTTTCGACTTCTTGTTAAAAATCGCAAGTCCAATTGCTTTGATATTACATATATAGGTACTACATGTGAATCTCTCTCAGATTTGTTCATTTTGTAATGATATCTTTAATTATCTAATTTTGGTGAATATTTTTGTCATTTTTGGTAAAAAGTGATATTTTCAACTTCTTGTTGAAAACCGCAAGTCGCATTGCATTTATACTATGCATATTGTTAATTTTCTAATGATATCTTCTGTTCTTTAATTGAAATGTGCTTTGCTAACAGCAGAGCGATCTCAGCCGAGAGGCTGCTTGTTTTTACTTTGAGAAGTTCTGTCAACCAAAGCATAAAT